GCAAGGCAAACGAAGCGATAAGCGGGTTACTATTACTGTAGCATTGCTAACAAGGTAATACAAGATAAAAATCTAATAACATCACAAAATAACGCACTGCTCACAGCAGGGATAACCTCACCCAGGCTGCAGTCAGCACCAAAAGCCTCTTCAGTAATCATATTAACAGTAATCATGGTAATCATACAAACGAAACTGCTAACACACCGTTTCCCAGTGCTGAAGCCAGCAGAAGGAGAAAGTTACCATCACCCATGTGCTGCAGAGCTGTCGGAAGGGTAGTTTCCACTGGAGAATCTTGCACTTCTGGAGAGAAATTGCTAGTCTGTGGCTAACAAGCGCTGTTAATCACTATTCCCACCCTAATAGCGCCCACACCTTCGTAGGTGCTCGCTGACTGTTACTAGCTCACATCCTCCCGTAGCACAAGTGGAACCTTTCTGTGCAATCTAAACTACCCGCGATCTCCAAGCCTTGTTCCCACTCAGAAATATAAGCTTTGTTAAAAATAGAAGCTAGACATACACAGAACAGATATCCTACCTCACCATAACTGGTCAAGGCTCCTGACCCGGCAGAGTACGCAGAGAGATTCGTTAGTCCACAGAAACCACAGGACAGCTCGAAAGGCAGTAAGACTCGTAGGATATGGGAGGTGGGGAGAGCTTGCTCTAGGATGCGGAAGGCAGTTTGCTGCCCGATAGGAACGTTCCAGCCTCCAGCATCCTTCAGGAGGGTTGGCCAAGGTGGTGGAGCCTGGAAAGTTTCAAGCGAAGAAGTGACAGCTAGTTATTTACCAAAAAACAGCCCAGCTTATTCTGGAAGGGAGTGGGGGTGGAGAGAAGAAAAGGAAGTCATCTCGTTCTCTTATCTGTACAAAGCCGGCAGCTGTGAATTGAGTGTTTAGAAGGGGACTGGGGAGGGTAACCACCACGCACACATGGTACGTGACGACATCTGCCTCTCAGTTTATGGGCAGCCAAAGCTAAAGAAAGAGAAAGCAAAGAGAACGGCTAATGGGCAGAGTTACGTCCCATGGAGCTCCTGTATCCGAACAGCACTTCCCATGAAATCTTCCTCCTCCTGCAAAGCAGGAAGAGACATTTCTGCCCCGGGTCTTCCGTGCCGCGCGACTCTGCCCAAAGAGCAGTCATCGCCTGCCGCGTGGCTGGGACGGGAGAGCACCAGCTCATGGACAGG